CCCCCCAGAGGCTTGCCAATGCGCTGGGGCCGCAGCGAACCCTATCCCGGTGACGAGTATGTCTGCGCGGCGGATCGTTTTACCTACTGCGACGGCAAAGGACCATACAAACCCTCGGGTACTCGACACGTGCATTTCCATCCATCCATCTATCCATCCAGTTGGCATTTCCTGTGTCTCGCCTTGTCTGAATGCAGTTTGCCCTGTCCAGTCTGATCGTCTCGCTTCCACACCGACAGGCAAACATCACGGTCCGTAACTCACCCAGAGCAGCGTACATGTGTGTGTGTACGTATGTGCGTGTGTGTGTGTGTCTGTGTGTGTGTATAGGCAAATGTGAGCTGACGGTGAAGACAGATGAGGGTCTGGACCGTCGTCACTACAAGCACACGTGTCGGGAAGGCCTGGTCTGCCTGATAACGAACGAGTATCACGGTTTCGACGGGGACACCGACAAAGGCGTGTGTATCGATGCCGCCGACGTCGAGAAGCTTTGCCGCAAGAGAGACGACTACGACCCGAAGAAGGAGCGCCAGCCGTTCGCGGTTGCCCAGTACTACGATTTCCAGGACAGAGAGTGCGAGTACGTCTGGGTGGACGACGTCGCCTTCTACAAGACAAGGGGGCCCTTGTGGTGGCGCGTCGACCGCTCCGGCCCGGATATGGTCAAGTTCTGCGCCGCCAAGGACGTCGCCCATGAGACACTCAAGTTCACACGTACGCACGCTCAGTGCTTTATCCACGCACACACACACATCCATGCATCTGCACGCGAATATGGTCCTTCCCTCTGCTCTCATTCGTACGCGTGTGTGATTGTGTGCAGCTAGTGCCGACTGCGCCAAGTACACCAAGGAATTCGCCGAGAAGTTCGACGCCTACACCAAAGAACTTCTCGGATTCCCCCGGCCCTCTTCGTATGACTCCAAGCCCGCATATTGCACAGGATCCGAGACGGCCCGCCAGCCATGCGGCCCGCCCCAGAAGACGTGCATCTGCAACAGCAAAGGAGATCAGTGCAAGACGAAGGTCGGTGGGTGTACGCGGCTCTGTGTGGCTGGGTGGCGGCATGTTGCGCTTGTCTTTATCCTTGTGTTTACGTGTGTGCAGGAGGACTTCCAGGCCGATATCGATGCTAAGAACGCTCGTGAGAAAGCGCGGAAACGCTCCCGAGCCGAATCCGAGCTCGAACGTGCCGATAAAGGTCAGTACAAACACACACAGAGGCCGCATCCATCCATGCGTGCGTGTACACATGTGCCTGTCTGCGTGCGTGTGTGCTGTGCGAGCAGCCACCTGCTTCTATTACACCGGTGGGTCGCCAGGGTCGGTGAGTCAGAACTGCGGCGGCGGACTGGTGTGTGTGGTGGGCACACGCACGCCGGAGAAGGGGAGACAGTCGGGGAAGTGCATGAACAAGGGCCAGGCAAAGGACTACTGCCATGGCGCGCCGATCAGAGATGCCAGCTATGGCCGATATTACTGCAAGCCCTTTGAGGAGGGCAAATTCTGATTAGGTGAATCGGTCCATCGATAGTGGGTGGGGGAGGGAGGGAGGGAGGGAGGGATGGGTTTGCACTTAGTGGACGTTGACGTTCTTGACGCACATATGCACGAGTGTGAGATCGATGTGTTGTTTTCCTTTTTTTTTGTTTGGCTGGCTGGCTGGCTGCCTTCTGGCTGCAATGGATGCATGTGTGTTCCTTTGGTTTTGCCTTGCCTGCATGGCGTGGCGCGGCGTGTTGTGTGTTCGGCTGTCTCCCGCAATGGCACATCCATCATCACGATGTGTGTGTTTTGCCGCCCTCTTAGTCAATTAGCGACGTGCACTGCATGGCGGGGGAGACGACGACACGACTTTTTGAATCCATCGTGATTGACGCATACGCAGCCGTACGGACAGGCCGATGGATGAGACCATTGCATCTTCATTGAAGGTCCCACGGCAAAAAGTCAGTGCATCCCTTTCCTTGGTCTCTGTCTCTCTGCCTTTTTGTTGGGCACATCGGTGGCCGACACCGCATCGTGACGACTCGACACACAAACACACATCCGCATCCTGCCATACAGCGCCCACAGTCGAGAAGCACACACGCACACACACACGCATACACCAGCAGCCACGAGAGAGAGAGAGGAACACCTGTATGATAGAATAATCTATCAAAAAATGACTACCACTGAGTGCACGTGTGTGTGGCAGATGGGTGGGCGTGGGCCCATGCCCACCCACCCAATTCACACGCAAAAACGAGTCGGAAACCATCTTTTGTATCGAAGAATTTTGTGATAGGGAGTGCACACCAGTGGTTACATAAACGTGTGCACATCTTTGGGTGTCATTTTATGGACATTTTATTTTGTGTAAAGCAAATCAGAGACATGACATATCATGATATTTTGCTATTTTGCTTTTGACTGCCACGCAAAAAACGCACCTACAGGCATTTTACATACTCTCGCTCTCTCTCTCTCCCCTCTCTCCCGTTCCCACCAGCCAAGTTCGTACGCAGGTGGAAGAGTCCACTTCCCGGACTGCTGGTAGAAAAAGCAGCCAGCAACTTGAAAGATGCAGACAGCGTACAGCTGTAAGTGACACAGCAGGAGATGTACGATGCCTCTACTGTACAAGCCGCATAGCGACATACATGTACAGGCCAGGCCAGGCCAGCCACGACACGGACGTCATGCAGACACCACACTCCCCGGCACTCCCCGGCATGCCGAGCAGGTCCATTCACGGCTGCCTGCATGCACAGGGAAGCACAGCACCACACAGACAGGTGCGTGCGGACGTGTGCCGGTGTGTGTATGTGTGCGCTGGACCTGCCGTCAGTCAGTGTGTGTCAATGGCTGGAGAGCTGCATACAGTGGCGGGCGGGAGGCTGCCGGCGGCCGGAGGAAAGGCCACCAAATGTGCTGCATGACACGCCTAGGCCTGCACAGAGCAGCAGCAGCACCAGCAGCACCAACAGCAGCCGAGGACAGACAGTCAGTGTCAATCACTGCATGTGTGTGTGTCGCACGTATTATCGCGTGCCCTACCTGGTGCATCGGCACCTCCGACGCGAATACCCACCTCCCGCCACACACGCGCCCATCCCCTGAACACACACACACACACACGGAGAGAGAGAGAGAGAGAGACAGTCAACACCAGCCACGAGGCGGCCACCCTTCTGATCTCCTTCGCCCGCCCGCATGTAAGGCGTCTTTCGCCTCACTCACCGGTGTCTGTCCATGCCATGCCTGCGCAGCCGGTGGGTGCCGTCTGTTGGTGGTGGTGGGGAGAGAGATGAGCAGGACGAGAAGCGCAGATCTGTAGATCTGCGTCGCCCCGCCCCCCTCACCCCACCAGCACCCCAAACACCTAGTTGTTCTTGTTACACGGGGATCCCTTGCGCAGGGGTCCTTTATAGAGATGCCATTCTCGTATCTCCCCCAGACCGTGTTGTCGATGTGGGACGTGCGCGAAGAGGAGATGCCGGGCCCACAGAGAGGAGCGTGACACGAAGGGCCTTAGGCGTTGAATGGAACAGGAAGAGGGCACTCGAGTGGCGAACTTTTCTCGCCTTCACTCCGTTTAACGACTCAGACTGACCCTAAGGGAAGCTGCTTCTCCTCACCTCCTCGCGAAATCGCCATGGATCAGCCATCGCAGCGCAGGCCTCACCCCCATCGCCACAGATCTCTCTCTCCCTCATCCCAAGCGGCGCTGATCTTCGCGCGCGGCCCCTTCTCGCGAGCACATAGCAAAGCCGCCGAGGGCACGGCTGCGTTCAAGGCCCGCGGCCGTGAGCATGCCAACGGACGGCTGAGGGACCATCCAGAAACCGGCAGGGCGTCTGCTCGTGGCGAGGGCGAGGATGCGGCCAGGCGGCGTGTGGAGCTGCGCCGAAAGGCTCGTGGCTCAGATGGACATATGGCAGTGCAGGCGGCTGTGAGGGGAGATGTGACGCTGCACACTGCTCGGGATGGGCAGGTGGAGACGTCGCGTGTTGCGCCGAGCCGTCCTGTTGCCAGCGCTGGTGGTGGTGCTGGAGCTGGTGGCGGTGGTGGTGGTGCTGGTGTTCGGTCGTCGAGCGCTCTGCCGGTTGGCCGTAGCAGCCAGTCGAGTGTGAGGCTGTCTGTGGACACAGTTCAGGAGATGCTGCAGCAGCATGAGGTGCTGCTGCGGGAGATAGCGGCGAAAGAGGAGGAGAAGAGGGCCTTGAAACGCCAGCTGGAGATGGTAAGACCATCCGTCAAAAGTATGCATCGATTGGTTTGTTGTTGTGTCCATACATACAGCATCAGGTGTCGTATCGTAGTTTGCAGCAGGCGGTCCGCCACAAGGACCTCTGGCGGGCACGCAAAACCAACCAGCTCGTCAACACACAACATACCCTCAAGGCAAGAACAAAGAGAAGAGCACGCCGCACGTGTCTGTCGTGTCAACATGGGCGTCAACATGGGCCGACTATCCCATGTTGTGGATACTTGTGGTGATGACATCAGGAATTGGAGAGCAAGACGTTGCACCTTGAGGTCGAGCGTGCCGCCCTGCAGCGTGAGCAGGAGACCATGAGCGTCAAGATGACCCAGCAACGACTGGCAAACCAGGACCTAGACAGACGCACACAACAAGTAAGTAGTAGGTCAAGTGCCATCCGCCTCACACACCACATACAGCAGGCAGGCAGGCAGAGACACGGCGGTTGGCTCGTCGCTTCTGCATGATCTGCGTGTCTGCAGGTTGAGAGGGACGTTGTATTGCTCACCACGCAGCTCAACGACCTGAAACTCCGCGTACTCAAAACGGAGGTCACTGAAGGAGACACACATAGCGTCACGCAGGCGGGGAGACGTGTTGAATCGTGTGTGTGTTCTCCATCTGTGTGTCCGTGTGTGTCTGTGTGTGTGTGTGTGTAGGGTGAGAGGGATGCGGTGCGCAGGGAGAGGGCGGTGGTGGCGAGACACACCACGTCGCTGCGGGTCAAGAACGACCAACAGGTGGAGAATGGACAGATGAACCGATGCCGCACATAGTGTTTGTGGCGTGTTGTGTGCGTCCGTCCGTCCGTTCCTCCATGCCATGCAGGAGAGCCGCCAGATCCACCTGCTGCATGACCTGCAGCAGTGGCGCAGACAGGCCACACTCGTCAAATACAAAAGCCCACGTGAGCAACAGAGAGAGAGGGGCACGGCGCACACGCAGCTGCCTAACAACAGCTTGCGCCCTGTGCTCTGTCTGCAGGTCTCTCTGCGTGAGTTACACTGTCGGTGGTTGCAGTGCAGTGCCGTTGTTTTTTGCTCATTTAGCATTGGATGGCGAACCATCGACCGAACCATTCGTGCCCTGCAGGCATTCGAACCGAGCCATGTGTGTATGTGGGCCGGGTGGTGTCAAAATTGATATATTCAACGCGTGCGTTTGTTTACACCCATGCACTGTCCTCGTTTCGCACGAGGCAAAAAACAACACAAACACACACATGCAGGCATTTGTCTGTCTGCGAGTCCGTGACGACCTTTGAAAAAACCCATGCAGCCACACCGCAACACCAGCACCAACACCAACACACACGCACATGAATGCGCCCCTATCCGCCTGTTCGGATAGCCTCCCTCCCTCCCCCCAAGGCATCGTTCACTCAATCTTCCATCTTCATGGCCTCGCTGTCGACCGCCAGGCCCATGGCGTGCAGCCCGTTGTCGACGTAAAGCGTCACGCCCGTCACCGCCCTCGCCAGGGGGGAACACAGGTACAGCGCCGAGCTGCCCACGTCCTCCGCGTACAAATCCTGACCCAGCGGCGAGTTGGCCTTCGAGTAGGCGATGGCGTAGTCGATGAAGGTCTTCTGGCCCTTTCCGCCAATCGCCTGCACACACCACCACCGCAGCACACCACACATGACAGATCACATGCGCCCCTTCCTGTTCGTGGGAATGGCGCACCTACCTGTGCAGCTCTGCTTTTGAGCGGTCCTGCGCTGATGGTGTTGACCCGGATGCCGTACTTCTGGCCCGCCTCCCACGCCAGGGTGCGTGTGTCCGACTCGAGAGCCGCCTTGGCGCTGCTCATGCCTCCACCATAACCTGCACACACACACACACACACACAGAGAGAGAGAGAGAGAGGAAGGGGGAGAGAGAGAGAGAGAGAAGGCGTCACACAGAGGCACACGTGTGCTAGTCGGTGTGGTGTGGTGTGGTGTGGTGTGTACCAGGGATGACTCGTTCAGATGCGACGTATGTGAGAGAGAGCACGGAGCCGCCCGGGTTCATGATGGGTCCGAACCGCTGCACCATCGACACGAGCGAGTAGGCCGACGCTGAGTTGGCCGCCAGGTAGCCCTTGCGGGACGTCTCCAGCAGCGGCTTGATCACCTGGATTGGATGCATTGCAACACACCAACCAATGGACCGATACACACGATGCACTAGCAATTGGTTTGTGATCTCACCTCTGGACCGTTGGCGAGCGAGTGGACCAGTATGTCGATCTTGCCGTAGTCCTTGGCTACCTGGTCAACCACCTGTCAGTCAGTGAGCGAATGGAGGGACGGGATGCAGAACGAACAGCACAGGCCAATGCGCTTCTCTCTTGCTGTCATTCGTTTGCTCACCTCCTGGATGGTGTAGCCCTCCAGCCCAGCGTACCGCTTGTTGTCCTTGATCTGTCAAACAGGGAGAGGGGGAGTGTGTGAATGCCAAAGATATATGCACCGCACCCATGATGCCCACGCACCTCACCTCTTCTGGCACGTCTTCGGGCGTGTCGAAGACGGCATCGAGCGGGTAGATCTTGGCGATCTCCATCTTGGACCCGTCATCGAGCACCGCATCCTCGTCAAACTTGCCCTGATCAACCAACCAACCGATGAACCCATCAATGGAATCACACATACACACACGCGTTCACACCCACGTCATGCATGGCATCACGTGTGCGCCTCCCTCCCCGTCAGTCAGTCACCTTTTCCAGCGCCATCTTGAATATGTTGAGGACAGGCGGCCATGTCCCGACGGTCACCGTAGCTCCCGCTGAGGCGAGCGCCTTCGCAATGGCCCAACCATACCCATTCGAGTCAGCCACACCTGCACACACAGACACACACACATAAGGACACACACACACACCATAAGGACACGCGGACACACAGACACACAGAGAGGTACACAGCGAGGTGCACAACGGCACGATGCTGTCAGTCAGTGCATTGCATCAGTGCATTGCTTCTGCTGACCGCCGATGAATGCCACTTTGCCGGTGAGGTCGACGGGCTTTGCCATGGACAGCGATGCGAGGCCCAGCGGCTGCCTTCGTAGCCTCAGGCGGGACTGCAGATCTGACTGCAGCCGCCATGGAAATGATGAGATGAATGCTGGCGGGTCAGATGCTCGTCGTGGTAGACATGAAGAGGCGTCCAGCAGCGCCAGCAGCGCCAGCAGCGCCAGTGAGGCTATGCTCGCCACCTGTGCAGCCATTTTGTAGACGAAACCCAACACTCACGCTGATATCAGGGTTTGGGGTGTAGGGTTTGAACCCTGTAACCCCAGCTGTTGCAACACACGTCCTGCCGTTCGCCTGTTCGAATTTTGGCTGAAATCCGCGTGGGCACCCCTTGACGATGAGTGAGCGTGCCGCCGCCAAGGCCGACACGATCGATCTCACGGGCGACTCTGAGCCCGACGAGGAGGCGCTCACCGACCCCTATGCTGCGCAAGATGCAGACTACCTGATGGCCCTAGCGATTCAGCAAGAGGAGAACGAGAAGGCGCGGCAGCTGCAGCAGCAAAATGCAGACCACAAGATGGCGATGGACCTGCAGCAGCAGGAGGACAATACGGCGCTGCCTTTGTTCGAACGGCTGTTCCACACGCCTGACCCGCAGACCTCTATCACCATCAGTAAGACGGCTTCACATTGCACACACAAGGATTGATGGATGCACCGGCTGCACAGCTGGATCGCCATCTGTTGATGCAGGCGGCAAGACCCTCAAGCTGGCTCACACGCAGCCCAACATCTACACCATCGATGGCTTCCTCTCGCCGAGTGAGCTGGCCATTATGGACGCACATCCGACAGGGGCCATGCATGGCGGGCACATGCTCGCAAGGTCAGCCAGCTGATTTCCACAGACTGACGAGTACAGTCAGTTGACTTGTTCGGTCTATCAGGAGGGCGGCAGGGTGCATCGGCCTATCGCGCAACAGCGTGAGCACATGAGGAGTGGCTCACCTGCCTACGTGAGCTCTCCCTCCTCTGGTCTACGTGTAGGTCACGGGACCTGCACGAGTCGCCTACGTGCCGGGACAAGTGCGCAGACAGACAAACAGACAGACAGACAGGATGGATGGATGGATGGCCACTCACTCACCCTGCTGCACTGTGTTTTGGTGGTCTCTGTGGTCAGTCGTAACCCACCCATCATGACTCTGGGTCCCTCACCGGCGACGTATCTAGCCTCAGCAACAGCAATCTGGCCCAGTTCCCGCCACGCCTTGCCGCTGATCTAGCGGGCATTTCTGTGACGGCGCAGCAGGGCCCGGGAACCAAGAGTCTCGTCACAGTGCTCGTGGTAGGTGTGGGTGCGGTCGTCTATCTGCTTGGCTGCATGTCACTCGTTCGTTCAGTACCTGACGACGCTGCCCGAGGGGTGCGGTGGCGAGACCTACTTCCCGGTTATTGACAAGGGGTTCCGGCCCGTCCGCGGGAGGGCCGTGATATGGGCCAACTTCCTCCCTGACGGCAGCACGCCTGGTGGGTGTGTGGGCTGGCCAGGCGACACACAGAAGGGAAGCGTTGGAGATAGAGAAGTGGACTGTTCGTCTGGTGGCTCGGTTGGTGTGTGCTGCAGATGTGGCTGTGATACACGGCGCCAGAGCGCCGCTCAACGGCCACCACAAAAGGGGCATTGTTTTCACCATCACCGATCGGGGTAGCAGCCAGTCGACACCCCAATGCCAGCTGTCAGTCTTCTCTGCTGTGCGTCCACTCATCCATCCTATCAGATTATTATCGGAGAGCGCACTTCGCTAGAGGGGCTGACATCACTCGCACGAGCGGCCGCCACACCAGCAGACACCTTGGCCGAGACCTGATGGCGATGCAGGGGGCGACCTCCAGTACGGCTGCTGACACACTCATCGCTGGTGGGTGGCTACCACAGACACACATACACAAGCATGAGCATCGGCTGCATCAATCCCTGGCCTGTCTGCCGTTTCGTGCAGCGGCAGCCAGGGCGGCCCGCGACGGTTCGGATGACATCGTTGAGGTGACGGGTACGCAACATAACAGCGCAGACGTACCCGTAAGATTCACACAAACGTACCTGTCTGTGTGATCCCGCTCTGGTCAGGCTTTGGTGTGTCTGAGATCAGCAGCGCGGCAGGGTCTCGTGGTCAGGACGACGGTCAGCCGGCTCGCAAGCGTGCGAGGCGTCAGCCGTGCTGCCCCGTCTGCGGTGCGCATGTGCCGGCCGACGGCCTCCAGCGACACATCCAACTGTAAGCTGACAGACATGGACACACACAGAGTCATGCAATGCACTAAGGCGCCCGTGTGGACGCAGGTGCATTCGTGACCCTCCTCGCAACCGTCGCGACGACCTGGCCGCCGCAACCTGACCTGACCTGATCCGCCAGAAAGATAGATAAATGAATGTGCAGACAGAAAGACAGAAAGACAGACAGTGGTTGGTGTGTTTTCGGGCACTATGATGCATGTATGTGACATCTAGCTAGGAAGGATGAGTTGTATATACGACTTGTGATCTGTGCCGTGCCGTTTTTCTGGTGTCCTGACTGACTCTCTTTATCTATCCCCTCAAGATGTGCATATACTGACAAGCACCACACGTGTCGTTGACATCATTCAGAGCATCCAGTCAGTCCAGCGGTCTCTCAGTGCATCGATCGACGAATACACGTAGACGCACACACACGCACTTGACCAACGACAACCTCCTCACGCCACTCTAGACACAGCCGTGAGAACCTCCCCCTCGCCACACACGATGCCCCACTCACCCCCACCCCCACACGCATCATCGTCACTATCACTGCTCCGCGTATCGTCTAGCTGCCGCACCTCATCAGCCCACCGCCGCTCCTCAACCACCACACCCTTGAGCCCTTCGCCATACAAATCCCTCACAAAAGGATGCATATGGTCCTTTCTCTTCTCTGAAGGGGGGTTCTCCTCGCCTTCAGGTATGGGTGGTGGGATCCTCTCTGCGGCTCTTGGCTTCCGTCTCAGCCGTGTTGGCGGGTGCTGCGGCTGCTCTCTGCTCAGTGCGGCAGCAGCGGCGATGGTCTGCATGGCTGGGGTGGGGGGCAGTGGCCTTAGCGGCGAGACGAACACGTAGTCACTTCCAGGAAGGCTGGCCGTTTTGTCGACATCAGGAACTGCTGAGGTGATCTTGGGCAGCCTCCCCTTCTGGCGGAGCACTGACCTTCCCCCTGCCTTGTGTGGCTCAGCAGAGGCACCAACGGCAGCAGGAGGCGCCTCAGACATGGCGGTGCTCGTGTGTCTCAGCCTCGGCAGCCGACGCGGCCGTGGCTGTGAGGCCCTGGACAAGGCATCGCTTTTGGGGAAGGTGGCCGATAGACCCGACGGCCTGCCCATGATCTCTGACAGCGGGCCGGGCTTGATGCCTCGCAGCGGCAGGCGAGATGAGGCGACTGACATTTGGCTGACAGACGGAGAGGCCTCGGCAGCGGTGTGAGAGAGGGGGTGTGGCGCGTCTTGTCTGGCGAGTGACTGCTGCAGGTCTCTGAGACGGTCTTCGAGCACCTGCAGTGCATGGATGACCGATTGCCTGTCATGTTCGGGCCCTAGATGTCGTGTCTTACCCCAATTCTTGCGTTCTTCTGCTTTAACTGGTCCTGGAGCTTCTTCTCGCGAGCCTGCGAGAGAAGATGTCTCATGAGCGAACGCCCTCGCGGCTTGTGAGGGTCCGTGCCGTACCTTCATGGCCTCTTGGGCCGTTTCAAGGTCACTCACTGTCTTCTGCAGGCCCTGCAGCAGAGGCAAAGACACACACACACACACACACACGTGTGTCAATGGGAGCCGGCATCCTTGTAGGTAGCTCCCTCACGTCTCGCACAGCTTCCAGCTTCTGGTTCTTGGCGGCCATCTGCGCCTTGGCCTCCTCAACCCCCTTGAGCCTCACCGCCATCTCCCTGACCTTCTGCTCACACTGCTGCACCCTCTCAACCGCCCTCGCATTGGCCTCACTGTGGACACTCATCGTCGGTGTCCCCTGGGTGGTCCTCCGCTCGTCCCTCTCCCTCTCCCTCTCCCGCCTGTAAGTCTCGATCTGGCCGTCCTTTTTGAACACCTCACTCATCAGGCCCTCCACCTCCGACAGGTGGTGCAGCCTCTCCTCCTCATAGCGACGCCTCTCGTCTGCAATCTCCGCCCGCTCTCTCCGCACAATGGTGTCCATCTCCAACAGCTGGGCCCGCACCTGCTGATTGTGCCGTTGGCTCTCCTCCAGCAAGCCCTGGAGCGAGCCTGCGTGGCCTGTGAGCCGCCCGTTTTCCTCCGAAAGACGGCGGAGATCTCCTTCCAATGTGTCCATCTGCCGCTTGGTTTGCTCCTTTTCACATTTCTCGCTCTCGTACAGCCCAGAGAGCCGCTGCACCTCCTTCTCGAGCATCGTGATGAAGTGGTTGCGCATCTTCTCCTCGGCCGCGGCGGAGACGCTGGCCGTGGCCTTGTCATTGCAGATGCCGTGCTTGTCGTCTCCGAGGCGGTCATTGCATCTGTCGTGGTGGCGGGCCGAGGGCTGGACGAAGAGGCCCAGGCCAGGGGAACTGCTGGCCACCAGGATGGGCGCCGGCAGCTCCCTGTCGCGGGGCCGTGATGATGGCATAAGAAGGATTGAGACGCCCAATGAGACGTGAGCGCTTGCAGATGGCAACTCAGTTCTTGACTGTCCTCGTTCAACACGACCAGATCAGCAGCAAGGTCCAAGGCGCCTTTCCTTTGAGAAGAGTCCTCCAAGCCCTGTTTGAGCTAAGCTCGCATAATTCCGTTTGCGAGCTTTCGGAAACCTCTGGGATGGTATGTGGACTAGGGACGGCGCGAATGAGCGGAGGAGCAGCGGATAGTCCAAGGTCATCGGCGGCTCGAACGATTCGACCCGAGATTCCTTGCGAGAGGATTTTGGCAGGGTCGTGTTCTCTGCGGCCCAGCAGCGGCCTCATCGGGAGGGCGCCGGGCCTCTCTCGGTGAGCCTGGCGTGGCATCTCCAGTCGGCTGGGTCGGAGTGCGTTAGTCATACCGGTCGGCTGTGGTTGCGGGAATCGGAGTGGAGGGCGTCGCTTGTCGTCCGTCGTGCCGCCGTTCGGCTCCCTTAGATGGCCCACGGCCACGAGACGCTTTGGCTGCCGCATCTGACGTGCTTCAACAGCATGGTCCAAGTCACCCGCTTCCTGTCCATCGCAACCGTCACAACCTTCCTCCTCTTCCAGTTCTACGTCATCTCAGACGACCTCGTCATTCTGCAGCGGCTCGGCCTGCCATCGCCGAATGGCAAGGCGGACTGCCCCAGCAATGGCGGCGAGGGCGGAGGGGCGGCGGGCGATCAGCAGGGCGGGGGTGTGATGGCCGGCGGCGGGATCAACGACTCGGCCCTGTCGATGCAGGACCGGCTATTCCCGCCGACGGTGAGTTTGTCGGACCTGCCTTTGAGCATTGTGCTGTCGACGGACAATCAGCTGATCAAGCGCATCCCGACGTTGCTGAACTCTATCTACATGAACAACAAGCAGGAGCGGGTGCATCTCTATGTGGTGGTCACCAATGACGTGGAGGAGCGCAACAAAAAGCTGCTCCGCCTCCTGGTGGCGGAAAAATTCCCCACCTTCACTCTGGAGATGCTCGACTTCAACTATAACCTCAGGTGGGTACACGCAGGAGCGGCTGACGTGGACGGGCCGGTGCATCTCGATCTGTGTCTGTGTGTATGTGCTGTGTGATGAAAGGTATACGAAGACGCTGAAGCACGTGACGATCGCGACGATGTGTCGGCTGATGCTGCCGAAGATTTTGCCCGAGATCGACCGGGTCATCTACCTCGACATCGACACGATCGTCCACGGCCCCCTCCGCAAGATGTTCGAGATGGACATACCCGAAACGGGCGTCACCGGCCGGACCTCACTCTCGCCTAACCTCATCAACAGCTGGCTCAGGCACGACAACATCTGGCCAGCTATCAGATACCAGTCGTCAAAGTCCTTCAATGCTGGGGTAAGGGAGTTGGTTGATCTCTGTGTGTGTATCGGTGGACGGGGAGGGGAAGCGGCGTCGATTGGGATCGGATCGCCTCTCATGCATGTGTGTTGTGTGTGTGGTTAGGTGTTGCTGGTTTCCCTCGAGACTCTCCGGCGGAATCGTTTTGTCGACCGCGTCATGTCATGGGTCAACACATGGGGCGTCAACGACCAGATCGCCTTCAACCTTTACTGCAACGGCACTTACGGAGAGCTCCCCGCTGCGTACAACGTCTTTGTTGGTACGAACCGCACAACCATAGAAATGGAAAGAAGGATGGAAAGAAGGATGATCATCACTCACTCTACCCTCCCTTTCTCTCTCTCCCTCTCTGCCGGCAGGCCAAGACACGGTCATCAAGGGCCCTCCCGTCGTGTTGCATTATGCCGGCTCGTCCAAGCCCTGGAACCCCACTTATGGGAAGCGGCGAATGCGGCTCTTTTGGGAGAAGTACGCACTCCAGTGGCCCACCGGCGAGGTGCTCTACGAGAACACCCCCGACCCCATCGAGGTCATGCGGGCGGCGGCCGCCGCACGCAAGGCCGCCAGGGAGGGCAAACCACCACCACCCGTCAGCATTTCCACCACCCTCTCCAGCTTCAGCTCAAGCAGCAGCAGCGCCGCCTCACGTCAGCCGCCAAACCCCCAGGCGGCGATAGCAGCGGCCAAGAACAACACCGGTGTGTGGAGTGATATCCTCAAGCGGGCGCGCGACGCCAGCGAACAGAGGAGACGGCGGGAGGAGGAGAAACGGCTCAGTGCTGACGGTGCGGGCGGTCAAGGTGGGGACGACCCTCTACGGCCACCGCAGCTTCAGTCTGTCGATGGCGGCCAAAAGCCACCACAGCAACAGCAGCAGCCGGACAGGGCGGGCAATTTTGATGATGGTGAGGGTTCACCACGGCAAGACGAGGATGAGGAGGACGAGAGGAGCGAAGCAAGTGAGGGCGGGGGGGCGGCCGACGCTGCGTCAAGTGACGACAGCAGGCCACAAACAGAGGAGGGGGCGGGGGATAGCGAACAACCATTAGCAGCACAAGACACCAGCGGCAGCAGCAGCGGCGAGCGGCGACGACAAAGGCGGCGGGGGCGGAGACGGACATAGCGACCCGCTGCACCATGACTCATGCGATCTCGGGCCGGCCCTTCCTCGTTGTCTCTTCGTTCTTTTTCCTTTTTAGGGCCCATTGAGAGCGCTAGTTGTGGTGTCAGTCAGCTGGAGGCTATGTGATGTCTGCTTGCACTGCCTGCCTGTTGCCTCTCTGTTTGTTCATTGCTCGCCGCGTGCAGATGTGTTGCTATTTAATTTCGTTCGCTCGTTCTGGCTGGATGGCTGGATGGATGAATGGATGAATGGCTGGAAAGATGGGATGACGGGTGCCCCGAGGGCAGGGCTGTTTTTTGGCCGTTTTGTGTGCAAAGATGATCGAACGTGGGTTGGCCTGGCAGGCTGGAGGCCAGCCCACAGTGACGTCCCTCCTCTTCTTCGCCCCCTTGCCTCCCTGCCCGCCTGCCTGCCTGCCTGCGTGTCCGAAGTGACGTGACACGCTTTCCCTCGCTCCCTCACTCGCCCACTCGCCCACTGGCTGGTACACATACATCGGTGCGTAATTGATACTTACTCTGTGTGTCGTGTCGAGCGTCACTCACTACCTGTAGAGGCTACCTACCTACCGAACTACCTACTACTACCTCTGGCTGGTTCATTCGTATCTGTCGGTCCATTCATTCGTATGAAGGAATGAATGCAATGCACACATGACTGACATGCTTCGCTTCCCCCACCTCGGCTATTCTCCTCTCGTGTGTGCAGGGCGGGCTTGGCAGGCTCATTCGTATTCTGCCGACCGATGTGCAAGGCTGGGTCTGGCTGTCTGTGTGAGTGTGTGTGTGAGTGTGTGTGAGGTGAGGGGGCGTGTACAGATCAAAGGGGGGGACAAGGGAGGGGGAGGGGGAGGGGGAGGGTGTGACGGGTGTTATTCAGTTGGATGTCTGGGGCCGTGCACGGGGTGACCGAGCCTACCCTGCATGGCATGGCCTGGTGTGTGTGTGTTTCTTTGTTTGTAGCTAAGTGCCGCCTTTTTTCGATCTGTCTGCAGCATTCAGCCATTCATCCATTCGTCTACCCAGTCCATGTTTTACTGACGCTCTGCACGTCCCAGGCTTGTGTGCGTTGGCTGACTGACTGGGTGTCATCCAAGGTCGATGCGATGCATTGCATGCGTGTTCTCTCTCCTGGCAGGCAGGCAGGCAGGCAGGCAGGCAGGTTTCTTTGCTGAATGGCGTTTTGTTGATGGAGCAAAGAAACAAGCTGACCTCCACACATCAGTCGACCGATTCAGCGCTTCCTTTCAGGAGTTCGCCACATGAATGGATGGATGGGGGGCGGGGTGGGGCGGGCCGCTGCTCGGCGTTTTGTAAGCGAGCCGACTGCTGCTGTCGTGTCGTGTCGTGTTGCGTTGCGTTGCGTTGCAGTTTGCGGTTTGTGGTAGGCATTATCGGCATGGATGGATGGATGCGACCGATCTTCTCCTTTCCTCTCTCTCTCACACAGGCAGACGGACACTCTCTCTATTTGCCAATCGTTTTTATCCATCCACCGGCATTCACCTCTCATGCATGGCATGCGGCGATTGTATTCTGCGGGTGTGTTGTTGTTGTTGTTGTTGTGTATCTTGTGTGTGTAGCTTTATGGATGGATGTGTGTATGGATGAGGCCGACGCATATATTGGTGGCTGTCAACATGCACGCATTCTCGTCCACTGTATGTATCTGTGTGCCTTTATTGCTTTTCCATCATCATTCACCCGTCCTATACCCATGTGTGTGTGTATTGTGCAGGCAGGTTCGTGCGTAGGGGAAGTTTCTGTGTATGAGGATGGAATGGACCAAATCGCATGTGTCGTCATGTGCCGCGCCAGCCACAGGGGCAGGCAGGCGTTCAAGCAGGCAGGCAGGCTCGAAAACGGCAAGGCAGGCAGACTAGTAGGACTAAAGGGGGCGGTTGGTATGTCGTTTCATTCATTCATTCGTCCGTTCGTTCGTCGGTCGGGTGACTACACACACAACACAACACCACACACAAACACCCATATATCGGGGGTTCACTGCGTATTAATTCGTGCATACCATCCATCCATCCTTCCATTCATCCCCCCACCAATGGTGTGTTGTGTGTAGGGAGGGGTCAGCACCACTTACACGACTTCTCACTCACTCAGCCAGCCAGTCGCGAGCCACTCCCGATTTTGACCATCTCGACTCTCTGACTGACTGACTGACTGTATGTCGGTCTTTTCCTCCCTGACCCGATCGATCATCACTCTCTCTGTTTTCTTCTTCTCTTCCTTCAATGACAACACTATCGGACCACCGAGTGTGGCGCTCACGTTGGCTCTCCTCTCTGCTCCCTCCCTTTGTCTACCTTTCCTCCCTCCCTGCCTGCCTGCCTCTCTCCCTGTAGCCGAGTCCGTCTCGCCCACCCGTCCATCCATCCATCCATCCTTCCTTCCTCGTAACGCCCTCTTTTATCCGTCTGTGGTTGGTGTGGTCGTGTCCGTCCTCAGTGTACTAGCAGAGGACACACACGTGCATCATGGGTGGCTGGATGGAGGGATGGATGGAGGACACACAACACACGTGGTAGCTGTCATGTTCTCTCTCCTCCATAACGTGACGTCACCCAATCTCTTCTTGTGTCGGCGACCTGCCTGCCTGCCTGCCTTTTCTGCCTTGCCTTCCTTGCCTTGCCTTGCCTGCCTGCACCCAGGGAGAGGGCTCATCGACTGACTGAGGTGGCGGCAAGCGAGTGGGGGTTGCCGGCCGGCCGTCGGATGGATGGATGGGTGGGTCGGTGGAGGAGCTGACTGACAGTGGATGGCGTGGGGTGGGGCGGGGTCATTGTCTGTGTCTTGTATACAATTCGCTGCATGGATGGATGTACGCCTGGTGGCGACGGTGGACGGATGGAGGTGTGGCACTGGCCTTGGTGTGGTGTGCTGGACTAGTGTGTGAGTGACATAAAAATACAGACACTTGGTCTCTCTCTCTGCAGCTGTGTCTCTCTCTCTCTGCCTTGCTCCCTTGGTCTCTTGATCTTTCTTGTCTCTCTCGATCTGCCTTTCCCTGCCTGCAGATCAGATGAGATGGGTGCCGTCCGTCTGTCTGTGTGTGTGTGTGTGTGTGTCTGCCGAACTACTTGCTGAGTTGCTTGATCCATTCATTCATTCATTCATTGACTGACTGACTTTCCTTCATGTGTGTGAATCGATCAATGTTCTTCCGTGGTGTGTGACAACTTTGCATACCTGCATGCATGATGTCATGAAGCTTCCGTAACATGTATCACCCGTGTGTTGGGTTGGGCGTCACTGCAACCTCCGCGTCCCCCACTTTACAATCACCGTAAACTTAAACTCTCCGTGAAGGGCAGGTTGCCGGGCGGAGCACCTTCTTTTGGGACGCCGCACCTCGTCGGATGGTGACATCATGTCGATGGGAGGCGATGGTTCCGCCAGCGAGAGGGATCGCCTGGAGGTTCTCCTGTTGGACTGGGTCCTGAGTCAAGAGCATGGCGCCGCTGCCGAGATCAAACGGGCCTTCCTCGCCACAAAATCTCGGATGGCGCGCGACCAACAGGCCCTGCCGCTCATTCAGGTTGATCTGGAAGAGCTCGATGTGCTCCACATGTAAGGAATAAAGAGAGAGGAAAAGAATGGCTGCATCCATCTGCGTCGTTTGTGTTGTGTCGTGTGGATTGGAGCAGGTTGGACGCTGCACCAGAGTTGGGTGTGTTGGTGGTGCAGCGCTTTACGATGTTCTACGAGTTATTGAAGCACGTCATCTGGCGTCTGCTGTCCAACCTCGACCAGAGCGCCGCCTACCTGGGCCTCGACGACGACACCGGCACCGACATGACGGACGACGACAAGGTGGGCAAGGACCGGAAGGCATCTGTGTCTGTGCACGGTTCTGTGGTTCGTGCAGGACAAGTATGTGCCGCCATCGAAGGAGCTGGTCATCATCTACTTCTCATCATGCACTTACATCCGCGCACCGTACGAAACTTTCAAACCACAGAAATGCAGCAGATGTGTGTTATCTCTGTGTGTGTGTTTCAACGTCATTTGCAGGGTGAGTTCGTTCTCGACGTCGTCCCTGTATGCTCAGACAGGCAGCCTGATCCGCATCGATGACGGCGTGGTCATCAGCTGCTCACCACTCCAGCACAGAAGGTCACCCAACCACAGCATACACAACACACGACGCACACCCATCCATGACCCCTCTCTCTCTGTCCGGCCTTCAGTTTGGTTCAGGTGTTCTCTCCGCAGTGCATGTGTGTCAAGGATGGGGACGGCATGATCGACATGGGCGACACTGACGTTTTACTGCGTGTGTCGCGGTTCGGCACACCTATCAAACCAAAGTGGGCGCGAAAAAGACGCACCGAAAACCAAGCCAAATGGTGTCTTGTGTGTGTAGGTCTGAGGTGTACAAGTGTGTGACGTGCAAGAAGGAGTACCAGGAGCTCACAAACAGACGCACCTACACAAGTAAACCTGCAACGCAAAGGACCTGAGTGACAGACTCTGATGCATCCATCCATCCACCAATGGTTTGGACGCTGCTTCCCTGTCAGCCTATCGCGAGGTGCTGATCTCCGTATCGCAAGACAGTAACGGCTTCAGCCGCACGCCACTGACCGTGACTGTGGAGGGGAAACTGGTACATACAGAAAGATACGCCGACATGCACACGAGCTCATTCATTCATGGGTGCGATTGGCTGCAGGCAGAGACGTTCCTGCAGAAGTATCCACTCGGCAGCCGTGCTGACTTCAAGGTTCCTCACTCACAGAACAGCCGCCTTTGTGTTTATGTGAAGCATCTCGTTCTCCCTTGCAGGTTGTCCCGCTGCCGCCCTCTCTCGGCAGCACGAACGGCAAGGTCCGCGTGTGGGCACTCGATGTCTCGCCGCCAAATGAACCATCGGTATGCATGACGACACATGACAAAGGAAGGATGACACATCGAAAGTGATGCTCACTCTCGATTTGTGTCAGGCTTTGTTGGGTGACGGCACACCGAGCCGTCCATCTGGTGATGTGCGATTCTACGAGTGTCTGCCAATGGCTGCTGCTGCTCCGGCGGCGGCGGCGGCGGGCCATGGCGGGGGCGACTCCTACCGAGAGATGCAGTTTTCGCAAGACGATTTCTCTGACTGGACGGCACTTTTGGAGAGAGCGCAGATGCTGGCCAAGGGTACGAGGCGACGCACACGCAACAGCGGCTGGTTTCACAAATGTTCTTCCCTTTCGCGTTGCTTGCCAGACCATCTGCCGACTGACTCCTGTGGCATCCCTCGCGTCGTGCTGCTGCTCTCGTAAAAGGACACCCACATATATACCAACATGAGATTGATGCTCCTCTGCATGCAGTGCTGCGTTGGCGTATGAGAACTTTCTACCACTCGACCCCCAGCTGTACTCGTTCTGGTCGGGCAACTTCGCCTTCGAGACAGGTACGCAGCCGTTTGTGTGTCGAGAACCAAGTCGGACGTCCATGTGTCTCTTTTGTCGGTGCGTGTGTGTCAGGCGGGTCTCGTTGGGAGCACCACATCGCTGAGGATGAGGAGGGCCAGGTCATGGCAGCGGGCAGGATGGACGACAGAATGTCAAGTGAGGGAGACATGAACACCCCTGTGCAGCCGTTTATCACGGATTGTGAATGTGTCTCAGTGACGGACGTCACGAGCGCGACCGTCTCTCGGCTGGGCACTGCGGGTGAGGGACAAGAGGAATGGCACATTCCCATCGCTCACTATCTTTGTTGTGTCGGCAGACATGTTCGCCAACGATCTCCCCTACCAGCCCATCCACTGCCTATTCACTGGAGGTCAGTCAGTCGGTGCAGCACATGACCGCAAGACATGCACACATGCATCTCGTCGTGTGTGGTTGATCGATCAGATGATGACGTCATGTTGCGTAAGCTGCTGCTGGGGGCTGCCCAGTGTCTGCCCCACTGTTTCGTGTTCGACGCCAAGCACCACGACCCCACCACACTGCTCCTCTATCGCATCGCCATTTTCAATCTATCGGATGATGAAGTGAGGGAAGCCGCCACACCGATTGCGACTGCACATGTGTGTCTCTGTGCGTGTGTGTGGCCGGTCAGCTGACGGCCAAGCAGCGAGAGGTTTTCACGGAGGTTTTGTCGCATGGCCGTGTCAAGCTGGCCAAGGCAGGCTACCACCGCGCCAATGTCACGCTCTGGGCATTCTATGTCACTGGCCCGAAGAAAGCATCCAAGTATCGATCGCGCTGCAAAGAGGGGGAGACTCGCCATGCTGCATCTGGCTGTGTCTCGATCACTGACAGGTCGCCCATGTCGACCATCAAGCCCCTCCTGCCCTACTTCGACTCAGTCATCGACCTCACCGGCCTCTTCGATGCGATGGTGACCTCTGTGTGAGGTCATCGTCCCTGTGGTGTCATGTTGTTGTGTGTGTGCAGGAGCCCACCTCTCTGGCCATTCACGTCAAGCAGGAGGATGGCGAGGAGGATGAACGAATCGCAGACTCATGCGCACGTACGACAAATCATGATGTGTGAAGCCTTTTCTACATTTGGAAACATGCAGTGGCTAAGGTCATCAACTTCTGGGGCTTGATGGAGGTGGACGGCGGCAACAACGCCGCACTCGGTGACGCCAGACGCAAGGTACATACACACCAAAAATGTCATTACCTCTCCCGAACAAGTTTCATTGCTTCCCCAATGTGCAGACTGTCGGTGAGGTGTTTGAGCGTCGCCCCAACAAGCAGCAGCAGGGGCGGCAGGGCAGGGTCAGACGGACCGCACCACCCATCCCCATCCCCGTCGACGTCTCCACCGGTCCCTCGGCGTTCAGTCTCTCTGAGCCGTCCCACTCCCTGCTGCGAGACTATCAAGGCGCACTGCAGCTACACCATCAGGCCCTCACCAGGTCAGTCAATAAAGGAAGGAGGGAGGGATGGAGGGAGACATGACAACACGGGTAGCCATCTCCATTGAAGACGCCTGTATATGTCAGTTTGGAGATGCGGACGATCATCAAACTCGCTGCGGCCACGACAAAGGTGGGCCGACAGACGTGGGCGGCGAGGCGCGCATAAGAACGATATTTGTCTGTTGGTGGATGGATGGATGGATGGGTGCAGTTGGTGCGTCGCCCGGTGCGGTCACTCAAGGCTGTGGACATCGCAATCGCCCTCATGTTCCTGGAGAACAGCCGATCCGTCAAGAACAATGCAGGTGGGTGAGGCGGACACTCAGACCACGGCCCTTCTCATATGCGGTTTAAAGGGAACCGCTTCTCCGTGTGGTCGTCAGGTGGTGGCTCAGATGGTGTTGCGGGCCTTGGCAGCTTCTCACTCGCCGGCACCGACGTAAGCCAGCCTCTTGTTTGTGCTGTTTGATCTTTCTGCATGTGTGACATTGTTTGTGTGGCAGGATGCGGCCAGCCCGCTGCAGCGATTCGAGTCACGCATCGCCACACTCTTCCACTGCTATTGAGTATGAGTCAAGACCCCACTCACCCAGTCATTCGGCCCCTCACGCAAGAGAGTCTCTCTGTCTGTCTGTCCGCCCCAACAGTGGCGAGTCCCTGCCATTCGTGTGCGTATGTCTGTCTGCCGAACCAATGCGTGTTCTATGTGAAAAGACTATGATTGTCACGACCCCTTCCCCTCAACCATGCCATGCCATGCCGTGCCACATGCGTGTGTGTGTGAGCAAAGGCGTGTCGCTGCGTCCATTGACAGAAGACCACGCCAGCAACCAGCCAACCAACCAAGCAACCAACCAAGTGAGCCAAGTGTTAGCGAGCGAGACGAACAAATCACAACACAACGATGCAATTTAACGCAATGGAAACGCATCCAGCCAGCCATTCACTGCACAGCCAGCCGCACGGAAAAAGCGGGCTATACACGGGCAGGCAGACAGCCAGGCCATACAACCAACGGTTATCGCACTTCGCTTTCAGACAGAAAGAAGCTGTGGTGCTTGTGCTGCCTAGAGCGCGTCCTCCTTCTCCTTGAGCAGTGTGATGCCCTTGTACAGCGCTACGATGATCTCGGCCTCCTTGATGTGGAAACGCCCCGACGGCGAAATGTCGACCATGCCGTCAGCACCAACTGAAACACACAAAAGGCAGGTCATGACCGATCAGACATGCAGCATAGGAATGTGTGTGTGGGGGCAGCTCAGCTCACTTGCAGTGTGCTCGCCACCCATGCCGCGGACCGACAGGCCGAGGGGTTTGCAGACGTCCTTGGCCTTTGCCTCCGTCCCATCGGCAGTGAGCTTCGGAATCTGTATGTGGACTGAGGCTCTCATTCCTGTGCCGAGGTTGGTTGGGCAGCTGGTGACGTAGCCGTAGTCGGGCGACTTGGCGAACTGGAGGCCCTCGATGCTCTCGACGACGTCCAGGGCGGCCTTGAGGCGGTCGAACACTTCGTTGAGGACGGTGCCCTTCTTCATGCACATGATGCGCAGGTGATCCTCCTCACCGACCTGACGCACAAACCACAAGGGCAGCACAAGTATCCAAGGCTCTCCATGTGTGGCTGTGTGTGTGTGGTTGGGTTTGGCCGGCTGACCCAGATGATGAAACCTCTGTCTTCGCTGACGTAGCAGCCGCGGCCGAAGGGCCAGTCGCTGGCGATGCCGGCGCTGGCCAGGTAGGGATCGTTGGCCATGTCCTTGAACATGATGTGGTCAGCAACCAACTGCTTGTACTCTTCGTCACTAAACACATGGATGGCACACAGACAGGTGAGCATCGCCCCTCCTCCCTCCCCTCTGTGTGCTGCTCACGTGATGTTGTCTTTGTGTCCTGGGGTCAGGGAGTTATACCGTCCGCCGTACTCGGGCATGCCGATGAGTTTGGCGAACGCCTCGCACATCTTGGTCTCCATGTTGAGCCGGTCCTCCTTGGTCATGGCGCCCGGCAGAGGGAAGTCGGCCAGGTTGCGGCCCACACGCACCCGCATCGACAGCTCCGGCAGCCCCAGCAGCGACAGGTCGAGCTTGCCGCCATCAGGGATGCCCTCAACGCCCTCCAACGACCACTCGTTGGTCTGAGTGGCCGACGCGTCCACCTTGTGGTAGTCGCAAATCACCTTGCTGAAGAATGGCTTATACCGATCGTAATCCGCAGGCTACACACAATGACACACATGGATTGAGACCCATACAGACATGGCCCCCGTCCCTCTCTGTGTGGTGTGGTGTGGTCCCATACCTGCATGGCGTAGCAGCCCATGGATGAGTCGGGGTTCTCGATGCCGCTGTTGCACAGATGCAACAAACCCTTCTTGCCGGCGTCGTCGAGGCTATCGAAGTACTGCAGGTCGAAGTGCTTGGCCATTCTGTTGCCCGTGTACAGCTCCTTTGCGGCCAGGAGGCGTTTGATCTTGTCACCGTATGTTGGGTGGCCGTAGTACTTGAGGACCAGCTTGGTGTCGTCGTCTCCCGCCTTGGCAGCGGGGGCCGCGGCGGGGCTCTCCTTTGCCGCCTTGTCCTCCTCCTATCACACACAGAGAGAGAGAGAGCGAGAAATACCATCATGACACGGCTCGTTGAGTCCTCGGAGACAGAGGCAGGTCTGTCCTCACCTCTTTCAGCAGCTTGATGCCCTTGTATAGCGCAACGATGATCTCGGCCTCCTTGATGTGGAAACGCCCTGATGGGGAAATGTCAACCGTACCGTCAGCACCGACTGAAACACACAAAAGGCAGGTCATGACCGATCAGACATGCCGCAGAGGAGTGTGTGTGTGTGGGCAGCTCACTTGCAGTGTGCTCGCCACCCATGCCGCGCACAGAGAGGCCCAGCGGCTTGCAAACGCTTTTCGCCTTCGCTTCGGTGCCGTCACGCGTCAGATTGGGAATCTGTATGTGGACTGACGCCCTCATTCCTGTGCCGAGGTTGGTTGGGCAGCTGGTGACGTAGCCGTAGTCGGGCGACTTGGCGAACTGGAGGCCCTCGATGCTCTCGACGACGTCCAGGGCGGCCTTGAGGCGGTCGAACACTTCGTTGAGGACGGTGCCCTTCTTCATGCACATGATGCGCAGGTGATCCTCCTCACCAACCTGACGCACAAACCACATGGGCAGCACACGTGGCTGTGTGGCTGGGTGTGTGGTTGGGTTTGGCCGGCTGACCCAGATGATGAAACCTCTGTCTTCGCTGACGTAGCCGCCGCGGCCGAAGGGCCAGTCGCTGGCGATGCCGGCGCTGGCCAGGTAGGGATCGTTGGCCATGTCCTTGAACATGATGTGGTCAGCAACCAACTGCTTGTACTCTTCGTCACTAAACACATGGATGGCACACACACACAGACAGGTGAGCATCGCCCCTCCTCCCTCCCCTCTGTGTGCTGCTCACGTGATGTTGTCTTTGTGTCCTGGGGTCAGGGAGTTATACCGTCCGCCGTACTCGGGCATGCCGATGAGTTTGGCGAACGCCTCGCACATCTTGGTCTCCATGTTGAGCCGGTCCTCCTTGGTCATGGCGCCCGGCAGAGGGAAGTCGGCAAGGTTGCGGCCCACACGCACCCGCATCGACAGCGCCGGCAGCCCCAGCAGCGACAGGTCGAGCTTGCCGCCATCAGGGATGCCCTCAACGCCCTCCAACGACCACTCGTTGGTCTGAGTGGCCGACGCGTCCACCTTGTGGTAGTCGCAAATCACCTTGCTGAAGAATGGCTTATACCGATCGTAATCCGCAGGCTACACACACAACGACACACATGGATTGAGACCCATACAGACATGGCCCCCGTCCCTCTCTGTGTGGTGTGGTGTGGTCCCGTACCTGCATGGCGTAGCAGCCCATGGATGAGTCGGGGTTCTCGATGCCGCTGTTGCACAGATGCAACAAGCCCCTCTGCATGTCCTCATCCAAACTTTCGAAGTACTGCAGGTCGAAGTGCTTGGCCATGCGGTTGTCGCGGTACAACTCCTTGGCAGCGAGAAGCTTGCGCATCTTCTCGCCATACTTCTCGTGGTCGATGTACTTGATGATCAAATCACTCGGGATGTTGCCCATGATGAGTCGCGGCGCAGGAGCAGGAGCGGGGCTGGGCTGCACGGGGGCCGTTTCCTCTTCCTCTTGCTTGACGGGTGGAGGTACTTCCTCGGGAGCAGGCAGGGCTTCTTCTTCAGCTGCCTGTGGTCGCTCTTCCTCTTCTGCCGGCGGGGCGGTCTCCTCGGCTTGTGGGGCTTCCTCTGCGGGTTCTTCTGCGGCGGGGGGCTCTTCTGGCGCAGAGGCTCCTACAATGGGAACGTCGTTGGACACCTGCGGCTGCTCGGACGGCTTGGGAGTGGCGTCAGGCTGCTGTGAAGGCTTCGGTGTGGCGTCTGGTTGTGTGGGGCCTGAGGGCCTGAGAGCAGGCGGTCCTGGAACGTTGTCAGTGTCTTCAACAGTCACGGCAGTGGGCACCGATGAGCCACAGCCCATGGACAGACAAACCGACTACCTCAACGCGGCAGAGGTAGTCCAATGGAGGGGCGCCACACGGCCTTCCAGGACGATAGCACTGCGCTGAGCAAACCACCTTAAGGCTTCCGTTGCAGACGAGGGCGGAGGGAGGGAAGGGGGCCGAAGGGAGAGGCCGATCGACTGAGTCTCCCTTCTCGCTCCTTTTCGTTCTCGATGAGCTGGAAGAGTTGTCGTACGAAGGTCCAGGCTTTGATGCTCCTTTGTGGCAGAGGGGGGGGAACAAAGGGACTTGCAGCTAAGCTCGCAGCCTCCCACTGCCGACGCGGAATGGAGCCGGAGAAGATGGAGGGCAGCCCTTCAGCAGATGCAAGAGCAGCACCAGCAGTGCCAGCGAAAAGCCATGCGAGGAACCACGAGATCTCGACGAACAAGACCGAGGTGCTCTATGGCATGGATTCGGAGAGCGGCCATCGTCTGTCGAGGCTGCAAGTCGTTTGGTATGGCGTGTGGATTGTGCTGCCGATGGCCGCGTTATCGACTGTGTTCGTGTGGCTCCCGACTCATGACTTCTGGTGGCTGGTGTGTGTGAAGCTGCCCCTGCTGGGCATCGTGTTCGGGCTGACGACGCTGGTGACCCTCCGCTACGTGCCGCCTGAGCGGAGAGCCAGCTATCTTTTGTGGATCATCGGGGTGGTGCTGCCTGCGGTGGTGTTGCCCGTTGTCGTGCCCTTCACCGCCCGGACCGACGGCATGAAGCTGCTGGGCATGTGCATCCTCTTATTCCTTCTCGGGAATGTGTTAGGTGCCCTGCAAGGCCTGATCCCGCTGCCACCGGTCCCCGTCGGCCAGATTGCCCCTCGGTCATTGTGCGTGACAGTGCCCTACATGCAGCTGGCCTACTCTTTGATGTTCGCGTGGACGTTCGGCATGGTGCAGGGAATTCGATTTGCAATTCCCTCCCTCTGTGTGGTTTATCCAGTGGGCATCGGGATGATCAAAGCGCTGGAGGGCAAGCTCGAGGCCCGCGTGCAGGGCGACACGGACAAACTGGGGACGATCATGTCGTTCCAGTCGATCATTTTTGCCTCAGTTCCTTATCGGTTCGTCTTCTTCATGGTGGAATCGTGGCTGGAGATCATACTCATCCTCCTGGTCAAGGTGGTGTACAAACTCATTGTCTTTCCGCTGCTGATCTTGTCGCTGCAACAAGTCATGGACAAGGTGCTCGAGTCCAAGCTGGCCCAGAAGGCCGTGCCGCTTGGAGTGCAGGAGGTGCTTCGCCGCGCGAGTCGCTCGACAGGAGTAACCAGCGACGAGGGACACCGCGACTCGCACGAAGACGCCGCAACGAGTGAGAGAAGAACCACAACTTCATCGGATGGGGGCGAGGCCGACGGAGAGGTCGCGATCGATGTGAACAGTGGGACCGCATCGGTGTCCGAGGCGCAGAATGGGGGGCAAGACAGCGTCAGTCGCGATGAGGCGTCGAAAGCAGCTGCTGAGACGAAGAAGCCCGGCTTTTTCGCACGGGTGTTTGCGTGGCTGTGGCAGCGGATGAGCCTCAAGCTGGAGGAGTCCATGGGCCTGCCGCTCAAGTGTGTGGCCATGAAGTTCGTCCTTCAGCAATCAAACGACATGCTGGTGCGCTGAGAAAGGAAAACTCAATACACACATGGGTGGTTGCTGATGCTGTGCTGTACTGCGTGTGTGTGTCAGGCCATCATAGCGATAGCGGCCATCGGCATAGGACTGCGCTTCCAGCCGAACAATTTTGTCTACGAAATGCCGGCAGATTACTTCAACCGCATCGTCGTAGCGGCCGCCATCGAGCTCTTCCTCGAGATTTTGCTGTCGATCGGCATTCCGTGGTGGATCAGACGACAGACAAAGTCCAGAGGCGACACCGAAGACAAGTTCAACCCAGGTGAGGAGATGAGATGACCAGGGCAAGTGTTCATCTGCCGTGTTGCGAATCGTGTGGCAGGTGAGGTCGTGCTGGCGGAGTGGTCGAAGGAGTTTTGCACCGCGATCTCGCTGAGTCTCGCGACGGTGACGGCCTTTTTGTTCCTTCAGTTAGTTGAGGTACGCAGAAGGCCTGACGCACATCCATCTGTACCGGCGCTTTCTGTGTGTGTCAGCTGGATGTTGAGCCGGCGCCGACAGAGTGAATGAAGGATACAGGTGGACACATCTCTTCTCTCTTTCTGTTCGGTGAATGAAGGACGGAGATGAATCTTTTCCCAGCTGAATCGATGCTTGTTGAATGCATGTGTGTGCGTCGGGGAGACCGGGGAAACGGCGCGAGTTTTTGCCGCCCGGCGCGTGCGTGAGTGTAGAGCTGGTCTTTGTTTGCCTTTGTGGATGGATGTGCGGCTGATGATTTTGCTTGTGATCCTTCATCATCATGTACATACGTACATACATGTCTACGAGCGTGTGTGTGAATGTGTATATTCTTTGGACGCTAACGCTGACAGACATCGATTTAACGTCTGACTGAGACACACAGACTGACTGACTCTGCTTTGCCAGCCAGAGCAGTCGCTCACTGACTGTGACAGCGACAAAGAGCAAACATGCTGTCAAACATGCGTCTGTTGATTGCCTTGCTTGTGAGTCTCGTTCTTGTGACGCCGTCTGGCTCATCGATCACAGGATGGCTTTTCGGCAGCGACACAGCTGAAGAGGCACACAGGTTCAGGCAGACAGTCAACAAGCAAGAGCCGGCCACTCCTGCCTCTGTCGATCTGGGTGAGTGTGTCTGATTAGCAAACACACATGCATTCACTCATTTGTGTGTGTCTCATCAATGGTGTTGTGTGTTAATGTGTCGTGTGGGTGTAGGTTATGACCGTGAGCCGCTTCAGGCGCTGACACAGTTCAGACAGCAGCACAGGAAGACCATCGACGGTCAGAAAAATGAGCAAACGAGACACACACATCACTCCATCCATCCATCCATCTGTGTGTGATGCGCTTACTTGTGCAGGTCGTTTGTGCGCCGCGACGTTTGTCCGGTCGGGTCAGATTTTCACTGACTGCACGACGACGGCCACGCCCGAGGGGAACACAGGCAGAGAGTGGTGCTATGTCGAGGCCCAAGTCCAGCAGCCTGGCCAGCAGCCATGGTGAGTGAGCATCCCATCCATCACAGCCACACCACACGCATCAA